AAATTAATTGGCCCGTACATGAAGAAATAAATATTTTAGAATTCGAATGTACCTTAACGAATGCGTTACACGTTTTGCAGTGTAAATTTAGAGACATAATTCTTTACCCTCTCGACATGCGTTTTTACTCTGATCTTTTATAATTCCTATAAGCAAACCCGTCTCCAGTGAAGTATCTTCTGTGTTTTTAAACAGGTTATGTAAAACTATTCGAGTTGTTTACTTTTTCATTTATTTATTTATTTCAATCAGCTAGAATCAAAATTATAATAAATTATTAATTGTATGATTCGAGATTTTCACAGCGGTGAGTACGAAGATTTCTGTCTTCTGGGTTGTTACGCCGTGTAGTATGGTAAACATCTACCATACTACATGGTGCAACAACGCAGAAGACAGAAATCTTCAAATTATTAATTATCGTTCAAACAAAATTTTCGTTTCTAGAAAAATCAACCAACAATTATTTGAAAAGCTTCTTAAAGAGTGGTTCAGTAATCTAAAATTGACGTTTCCAAACTGAGAATAGATTTGGATTTAATAGTGTAATTTAAAGAATCAAAGGAATAGCTATTGAAGGTTGGCGGCAATACTTGATAAATACGTCATATACACACATCGCAAATTAGTTTGTAGGTTGGATTTTGTAGTATATAGTAGGTTTCACACATGACAACTCTCAGGTAGGAAGTCCGTGTCCTTGAAATACGATACTTTTGAAAATGGTGGATGAGAAAAAGTTATTATTATTATTATTAACTAAAATTACAAAATAATAACATACACACATTACACAAAATAAAAACACAAGTATTTAAACACAACAGATAACCTAAAATAGATAACTTAAAAATTAATACGAACTAGACATAAGACAGTAACGAATTACATACGTCATGAACTGATGCACTCACATTTCATCACGACCTTCTCTTCACTTCACTACACTTATGAAGCCTTTCCATCCTCACCCCGCTTTACCTCACTTCACTGCACCCACTCATGTATTCCCTTCACTCCACCTCATTTATCACTTTTCTAACCTTCTTCCTAAAAGTACTTGGTTTACAGGAGAGAGTCCCTAAAACATCAGCAGGTAGCTGGTTCCAGAGTTGGATGGTCCTATTTACAAAGGAATATTTTCCGATATCTGTTCTTTGCTTTCTGTTCCTAATTTTCCGAATATGATCGACCCTGCTCAGATAGCATGGCCTTTGCAATCTGTCACCTGTAGCCTTCCATGCCCGTTCTCTCGTACACGCTTTGAAGAGAGCACATATACGTGCTATCTTTCTACGCTGTGCCAGGGTTCCCCAGTTCGAATCGCTCCTATGATATACAAATTTACATGCTTTCTTTTGCACCCGTTCTAACGCATTTATCTGCCCCTCCCTGTAAGGATCCCAGCACGCCGCCCCATATTCCAGAATCGGACGCACTAGTGATGTGTAGGCTAGACTTTTAGTGTTACTATTTCCCTTTTTGAGAACACGCATTGTAAAATGAAAGGCTTTCCAGGCTTTCTTCACCGTATAATTTACTTGATCAGCCCAGCTTAAATCGCTGCTTAAGAGTATTCCCAAGTATTTACAACTGCTCACTTCCGGAATTACTTGGTCCCGTAACGAATAGTTTAGTAGTTCCTTCACCCGACTTCTCGTAAAACTAACTGCCTTACTTTTACTTGGGCCAATTTTCATAGCATTTTCAATCACCCACTCCCCCAGACTGTTTAGGTCCATCTGCATCTTTTCTATATTTTTATTATTTACAATTTTCCTATATATTATGCAGTCATCTGCGAAGAGTCTAATAGTCTTCTCAATGTTCCTCCAAATATCATTTACGTACATGAGGAACAGAAGTGGACCCAATAAACTCCCTTGCGGTACACCTGGCATTACGCTGACTTCCTCTGATAATTGCCCTCCTACTCTAACTCTCTGCGTTAGGTCCAAAAGGAATTCCTTTACCCATGCGACTACCCTCGAGTCCACGCCTGAGGCCGCGATTTTCGTAAGCAGCCGATCATGAGGAACTCAATCGAAGGCCTTCGAAAAGTCTATTATAATAGCGTCTAACCTGCCTCCATTATCCAGTGAGTCTGCAATGTTCTGGCAAACCGTGATTACTTGACTTTCACATGAAAAACCCGGCCTGAACCCATGTTGACCCCCGAATAACCAATCCTTTTCCTCCCAGACTTTCCTCAGGTACGATGCTATAACGGCGTTGAAAGTAAAATATGGAGTTACTTAAATTGCGACAAAAAACCGTTAAATTTAGTGACACTGTTATGATGAACATTTTTATATGTAAGCGCAGAAGACACTTCGTCGACGTTGCTAAGATGAGAACCGTAGATGAACTATGTAAGATTCCAGGTTCACACGGAGGCGAGTTGCGTCATCATCATGGCGATCGCCCTAAAGATGGAGGCAGCAAACGCCTCTGAATCATCGGTAAGATTCTCCTATATTATACGGGGCAACATCCCAAAAGATTTGTCATCTGCGAATAACTCTTTGTTTTACAGACGGAAAAGGTACTTTGACATATGTTATAAAACAGGTAAGTCATTTAAAGATTACTCATGCGTTGTTACTACAGTTTATAGTGGTAGAAAAAGCACAAATAGCAGCAGTAGTAGCAGAGAGTAATCATTACTGTACAGGCAAAGTGACTAAACACAAACTGGACGACGGGGGTTCAAATTTAAAATAAAGACATAACACTTTTTCTTTCGTCACCACATCCAAAAAGCTCTTCGGTCCATCCAGCATATTATCCCATTACATGGTATTCTTTTCGGGAAACTAAAGCGACCTGATTCTGAAATTGGTCCATTTCCATCCACTTACAAAGTTTAGAATTATGTAATTAAAATCTTTTCCAAACACCCAACACACCCATAATGGTTTGACGTTTAGAAAACTCGGAGTTAGTTTCAACATCACCACCACCATTTCGATGAGGAAATTAGGGCGGCCATCACATGCATCCGCAGTGAACATCGTTCCTCTGTCTGGCTACACGTATGATAATGAAATTTTACTTATTACGTGTCTCCATTAGAAAAGCACGTAACAGCTTCTCTACTGAGTAATTTACCGTGACCTGCCAATAAACCGATTGAGCTGAAGTGGCAATTTCTTACAAGCTTTCCGTGATACGACTTCACAAATTCTTTGCGATGGGTTCATTCACCTACAAATCCTATAATGCGTTGAGAAATGACAAGCTCAGCGGTAAAGTCCCATTCATTAAGCACCTCAGAACTATGGTCTGACCGGTTTTCAGATAAAACTAATTCTCTTATCGTAAAGGCATTAAAACAATAGCAGGGTTACGAAGGCAGCCTCTATGTTATACGCAGGCCAATATGTAACCATGTTTTGAAACAGGCTTCCCTAATCGGACTAAAATAGTTCGGTTTGCTTTCATGTAAAGAAACGTAAATATATAACGTATCCGTATAATTTTCTATTGCTGAGACTTTATTCTTTCTATAATAAACAAAGCTCTCGAAACATTCGTAGTTCCATTACGTTCACTCTCGAGTAAACATATTCTTCTCTGGATTTTACTTTTCATGTTATAAACACTCAGGTCAATATACCACTTTTTTTACAACTGGGCATCTGTCTTAAGGTAGCGGAATTAATAATTTCTAGCCAACACATTTCGAATCAAAGAAAAAACTCTTTACAATATTTTCAATTATATTACTATCCTTGCATGAGATCCAATAACAGAAGACGCTGTAGGCCCACCATGAGCACACATATAGTTTCGTTTGCTTTTCTTGCTGCCAGAGTCGCCACCTTCAGAATGTACGAGGCGCTTCCACAAAGTAAGTTTCCCACTCGTCCCACAGCTAGCAAACCTTATATTGCGCGAAGCGACTGTGCGTACGTGATAGAGCAATGACGTAGCATGGCGCATGCACTAACGGCACTTCCCGCGTTCTCACAGTAGCATCGTTGCAGCTGTTGAAGATGGAGGTTCTTATTCCAGCCCCCGCCGACTGTGAAGTGCGGTCAGTGATAACGCTAGGCCGCACACGACTCGACGGACAGCAAGTCTCCTGCAGGAGTTCAGCTGGGAGGTGTTTAATCATCCACCCTACAGCCCGGACCTCGCTCCCAGTGATTTCCATCTTTTCCTACACCTCAAGAAATTCCTGTCCGGTCAGCGTCAGCGTCAGCGTTTTGAGAATGACAGAGAGGCGGAGATGGTTGTCACACAGTGGTTCCAATCCCAGGCGGCAGACTTCTACGACACAGGTATTCAAAAGTTGGTCCCACGGTATGACAAATGTCTCGATTCCGGTGGCGAATATGTTGAAAAATAGCTGGACACTTGCTGTATCTGTTGCAATAAATATTTCCATGAAATTGTGTTTTGTTTCTGTAAACGGCCCCAGGAAAACGTACTTTGTGGACGAGCCTCGTAATTTCAATATTTATCGCATCGCACGAACGGCGCTCTCGTTCAGTCAAGCAACAGCTTTTGCCTTAGAAACATATTATTATTTAAGCAAAATTTCTTACTTGTGTTTAAAGAAACTGTGTGTTAATTTCACTACCGTATTGTAGAAGATCATATTTGCTTTTAAACCCAGTTTGATAAAACCTGAAAATATGACGTGGTGAGGTGGCACCGTTGTAATCCCCTCCGCAAAGTTTATTCATGCAAAAAGGAGACGCTACAGATTGACGAAAGTTATAAATTTAATGCTTCGACAGTTCTTCACTTGGGCTAAAATCCTCCGGTCGGTATTGAAATGGGAGGAAATTTGTTCGTATCTCAAAGGTTCGACAGTAAGAGAGTTTTAAGTTTACACTTAGTCTTTATCAGACATAGACCTGTTTTTGACTTCACTAATATTTCATGTTAAAGCAGAAATTTCAATAAACTTATTTCTTTAGATTACCTGTCTACAAATCACAAAAATCAATTTCGCTGTTATACAAGTTGAAAGAAAACACGCCGGTTACCTTAGTGTCGTTTGTGATGAGTTCCAGCTGGTAGCCAGGAAGAAGATTCTTCTCGTTGATGTGGCTGACTGCAAGACGGGCTGCTGCCATTTCGCTGCGGCCTTCGGTTCGTTCCCCAGTGCGGGTCGTCATCTCAAACAATCCCAGCACAGTGATTCGTTTCAGATGGTCTGAAGAATTATTCGCTGAGGATATTGATCGTTGTGCTAACGCAGACGAAATGTTGGATGTCTTCCGAGTCTTGGCACTCTCAAGAGAAAATGACTTCATTTCAGTCAATGTCAGAGATGTATTGTCAGAAGAGTTTTTGTGTTTGTAAGTCCAATATGTGAGATCTTCAGAACGCGAAGTGTTGAAGGAAAGGGTTTCAAAAGCATTAACGGAATCTAATGTGGCGTTTCCAAAAGAAAGGGTATGTGAATGTCCTTTAGGGGTTGATAATACTGAGGACTTGGGAAGAAAGTCAGATACCACACTCATATTCGACGAATGTGTTCTTTCTCCGTCAAAGAGTTTTGAAATTTCAACAAATCCCAAAGATGTTACATGTTCAAAACGCTTTTCGGACTGTGTCTCCGGAAGTGACATGATGATTGAAGGCATGGGCGAGACACCAGAAAATGAGAAATCTGAAGCGTCTGTTGCCCCCAAATCTGACCCTGGCGGCGAATTACTTTCAGCTACTTGAGTAGCTGATTCATCAGAATTTTCGCATAATAGGTCTTCTAAAGAGTAACAAGGATTTGATTGTTCAAATTCTGAACTTTGCATTGCAGAATAATACGGATCTGAATTAACACCTACTGAAGGGTTTGAGGTTAATGAATGATATAATGACGAAATCGTAAAAGTTTCTGATGAAACGAATTGTGATGAAACATAATTTGGTTTCAAAGTAATTCTTGAAGACAATGGAGTACGATCATTTATGAATCTGGAGTCATCATCTTTGACACTTATT